TGATGGTGATGGTGGTGATGGTGGTGATGATGGTGATGGTGGTGATGGTGGTGGTGGTGACAGTGGTGATGATTGTGATGGTGATGATGGTGACAATGGTGATGTAGTGATTGTAATGGTGGTGACAGTGGTGATGGTGGTGATGGTGGTGATGATGGTAGTGATGATGATAATGGTGGTGGTGGTGATGGTGATGGTGGTGATGGTGGTGATGATGGTAGTGATGATGATAATGGTGGTGGTGATGGTGATGGTGGTGGTGGTGGTGGTGACAGTGGTGATGGTGGCGATGGTGGTATTCATGGTGGCGGTGGTGACGGTGACGGTGATGGTGGTAATGGTGTTTGCATGGCTGTGGAGATGGGGATGATGACGGTGTCGAGGTTGGCAGAGATGCCGACGGCTGTGCTGTTGGTGGAGTAGGTGGAGGTGCTGGGAAATGGTAGTGGGATGGTCCTGATAACACAGGGGGACACCTCAGTGGATGTCCTCTCCCAGGTCAAGTTTCACACTGTGGGTCACAAACAGCAGCATCTCACCTCTATGGTCAGCGTCTTTTTGGCCTCCTTGTGGCCGTTTATCCTGGCCACCTTCTTGAGCTCCTGGAGCGCTCGTTCTGGTTTGCCCCTGGTGATCAGCCACCGGGCAGACTCTGGCAGCCACCTGTTGAGGAAGCAGGTGCTGTGGTCGGGACTTGACTGTCCCTGTTCCCACTGGGACTCCCTGGTCATGGGGGGAGGGGCAGTGGGTGCAGGGCCCCCAGCTGGATGGTACCAAAGACAGACAGGTTTTTCCTCTTGGGTGCTCCAGTGCCAGGCAGGAGGCTCAGAATTGGGTCCCAGTGCCTGGCCACCCTCAGATGCCTGGGCAGGGGATGTCCCCAGAGGTGGCCACCTGTCCAGTGATTTGGGGGCCACTTCTCTAATAGAATGGCCACGGGGTACTGAGCTCATTTTTGTTTAAGGCTCATTTAAAACATCCCCAGGCAGAACTGAGGGATGGCCCTTCCCCAAGCTCAGGGGCAGGTGGGCTGGGAGAAGCATTTCCCTAGTGATTTGCCCCGTGCACCGGGGCTCAGGTGCAGGGAAGCTGAGAAGGACTTCCGGAGGAGTCTGACACCGTGGTTTCAAGAGGCAGCTTGCCGGGGTTCCGATCCGGTCTCTGGTCCTCATTGACTGGGTGACCTTGGACCAATGACCTCTGGGCCTCAGTTCCTCTTCTGAAACCAGACCAATAACTTCATCTTCCTTATTAGAAGACGCGTTGATACGCCCCTGGTGTTGTGAGCCACACCGGGTAGGCACCGGCCCCACGTGACCAAGGTGACCTAATCTGTAGTTATGGGATGGCCGCCTTCCTTCCTGTCGATCCTGTTTACAGAATACAGACTCCATGACAGCGGGGACTTTTTGTCTGTTTTGGTCTGATGTCTGGCCTGGAGCAGGAGCTCAGTAAATATTTGAGGGCGAGTGTCATCCTCTACCCGCCCACAGCAGGCTCATCAGTGCCCAGCTCTGCCGGGCTCCCTCTCAAGAGAACTTACGGTGACACTAATCTGTATTTGTTCTCCTGGGTCCCCTCCCCCAGTCCCCACACAAGCAGGTGTTCCCAGACCTCGGGAATTTCTGCAGCACCAAGAAGCACAGTGACAGTGATGTGTGTTCCTAGCCAACGTCGGTCCTCATGACTTGATGCCAAGTGATTGGAAGGACTGACCTGGTGTGGGGGACGGGTGTGAGCCCAGGGAAGTCACGCCACCCACAGCCCAGCCTAGAGGCAAAGGCTGCTCTGGGACTCTGGCGGGACTCCGGGCCGGTGGCCCCAGATCTTCCCATTTTCCAAAAAAATGTAGAAACATTATTTGTCATTTTTGAAATGTCACCGGAAACTGCCTGGCGAGCAGGGAGGGCCCAGCTCATGTCATCGTCATCTAGGGCTCCCCACAGGTCAGGACCGCCGCTAGCCAGGGCAGTGGAGTGGGGGACTCCCTGCCACCCCGGGTCCCCCTCAGGAGGACACCCCACCCTGCACTGACCAGGATATCAGGGAGATGGCAAAGAAGGGCACAGACACGGCCAGCTGGAGGTCCCTCCAGTCCCGCAGGGCGAAGGCCAGGCCAGCCAGGGCCATCTGGCCCGTGCTGAAGGTGCATCCCAGTATCGTCATGGAAACAGCCCTCTTGTGGGTCGTGGTCCACTCCACCACTGGAAGGCGATGCAGACGCACAGGTGAGGGTGTGCCCTCCCCACTCCCCCAGGGCAGGGGCACCCCCAAGGGACTCACTCAGTGTTGACAAGGTCAGGATGATGCCCGCTAGCCCGAAAGCGCTCAGGAACCTGAGGCTGCAGTAGATGAAGAAATTCGGGGAGAAGATGGTGCTGGTGCTGGTCACGGCCACCTGCAGACAGCACCAGCTCAGCATCGGCTTCCGCCCGAACCTGTTGGGGAGACAAGCAAGCAGGGCCTGGAGGACGAGGACGCACGGCAAGCGCTTGCCTTTGAGGGCCCCACCGAGGACAAGGAGACTGGCACAAAGCCTTCTGGAAGCTTCTGGAGCTGCTGGGAGTGCGCAGGGAGCACTGGTCTCCAGACACCAGGTGCTGTGCCCTCAGGGGCAGTGTGGCCCATGGTCAAGAACGTGGGCTTTGGTGTCAGATGCGCCTGGCTTTGAGTTCAGCGCTGCCCTTCCTGGGTGACCTGGGCACACACTGGGATGTTCATAATGACATGCCTCATGGGCTTGCTGTGAAAATCAAAACCCTGAGCAAGGGGGCTGTGGAGCAAGGAGGCCAAGTGCACATGGCCCTAGGCAAGCCAGCCCGGTCCTCACCTGCCCACAGGGACAGGAAGTCCCATGAGACCAGGCCCACCCCCATCCTGGTGCCCGGGCTCGCCGTGTCCTCCAGGCCAGCCCAGCCCCAGATGCGACTCATTCGGTGCAATCGCAGTGCACACTGAGCAGGTGGAGCTGGGGACAGACCTTGGCCTTGCCTGTCTGGACAGCGCCCAGGAGTGTGGACACCAGGCCCAGCCTGGCTTCCAGTATAGATGGCCCCCAGGACACAGCAACGAGTCCTGGGATGGAGCCCCTGAGTGTGGAACCCGGACCACATACAGGCTGCCTGGGTCCTGCCGTGCTTAGGACAATACAGCACAGTAATGACAAGTCTGCTGGGCTCCCTGGGGACAGGATGGCGCCTTGGGGGGTTGGGGTGTTGGGGGGGATAGTGCCTGAGCTTTTGTGCTGCCTCCTAGACCTCTAGATCGAGGGCCAATTAGGTGTGGTCAGCAGTAGGCGCCTGGCCCAGAGGGCGCAGTGGAAGTGGCTGGACTAGCCTTGCTGTCCACCTGGGGAGGGATGGATGGGCAGGGACAGGCTGGGCTCCCTGGTAGGCGGGTGGCAAACCAGGAGTGTGGATGTTCTGAAGCTTAGAGAAGGAAGGTCATCCAGGAGAGCTTTCCTCTCGGCCTCAGGTCTGAGCGTAAACGTGACCTGGTCAGAGGAGGCTCCAGTCCATCTGCAGATCTGCCCTGTCCGGGCCAGTCCTTTCCTGTCTGCTCTGCAGCTGCGATACCTTTCCGTGGTGACTGACTTACTCATCTGTGTCCTGGACAAGCTGAGGGCTCCCCTCCCCGCCTCCTTCCCCACCCATTTCTCCTGGAGACCCAGTGTGTCCCTGTGCCTGGCAGGTGCTTGGCCCATGTGACATGTCCAGGGGAGGCCTCAGGACCGGAGGACAAAGGGGCAGAGGAGAGGCTGGTGGGGAGGTGAGGGCCGCTTGGTGGGGGAGGGGAGCGGCCGCGGGCAGCAGGCCTGTGGCTGCTGACCTGAGGGTGGGGCAGTGGACATGGGAGGGGTTCGCTCTGGGGAGCCTGGCCAAGGTCTAAGGGGCACCTGGAGCAGCCTCTGGGCTGGAAGGGACGGCCAGGCAGGGGAGGCGACCTGGAGGGGCGGGGGTGACGAGCAGCTGTGAGGGACAGGGACCCCCAGGCAGAGCTGGCCTCCCACTCACAGGAGCCAGGAGCGTGTGGGCCCAGACTGTCCCCGTGTTGCCTGGGGAGGAGGGCTGAGGGGACACCCCATCTCGGGACGTGCAAGACAATGCCGTTGGGGGGTGAGGGGCAGGATTGGCCACTTCAGAGGCAGGAGAACAGCCCACCAGGCCTGCAGGTCCCCCGGCTCTGGCCTTGGTCCACCTCTCCAGGCCTGTGTGACTCAGGACATGGCCCTGACCACTGGGCAATGCAGCCCTGGACACAGCTGACGCCCTCTGGCTCCCTCCTCTCTGTCAGGCCGCCCTGCGGGCCTCTGCTCGATGCCGCTTCCTCTGGAAACCCCTCCACCCCCCTCTGAGTCCGCCCCGTCCTGTCCCCGTGGGCCCTGCCCATATTTCTGTTCCACGGCACGTCATGAGCCCGGAGTTCGGAGAACGAGGAGCCTGTTTCTCTCAGGAGGCCGTTGGCTCCCGAGGGCAGGGCGCACAGCCCCCGGCTCTCAGTAGCTGCTCGGGGGCAGCTGGGTGCCGCGGCCGAGGGTCGAGTCCCACCGTCCAGGCTAACAGCATGGAGGCTCAGATGGCAGGTTCTCGGGAGTCTCTGTCCCTGCAGCTCAGGACACAGGGCAGATCTAGGGGCTCCATCTCCTAGGGAACAGGGACTCTCCTCTGGTACCTCTGTGCCTCTGGCCTCTGTGATTCTGAGGGAGGCCAGAGGGGAGGAGAGACTCACCGGTGGGAAAGGAGGCCCCAGATGAAGAAGCCCACCAGGATCCCGGCCATGTAGACGGACTGGCCCATGGGCTTCAGGCCCCGGGAGCTGCACACCAGGTCCCACTGGAAGAGGAGGAGGAGGCACCTGGTCAGCCACCCACCAGGGGTCCCTGGCTCCTGGTGGCAGGCCACGGCGTGGGAGACGGGCCTGCTGGCGGTGACCTCGATGCTCCAGGGTCCCCCAGCTGCACAGCGGCATGGTCCTCACAGCTCTGCTTGCCGGGTAGAGGCCATCAAGGACCCTCCCACCATGACCAAGGGGAGGTTGGGACCAGAGACACGAATTGGGAACAGTGACTGCCACCTAAGAGCTGCAGGGGGAGGGTCTGCTCTGCCCGCGTTCCTGGTTGAAACCCGACGAGACACCCCCAGGGGCCTCCTCATCCATCAGTGACCCAGCCCAGGTCCAGACGGGGGTCGCCACAGGCAGCCAGGAAGTACGTATGGAGTGATAAAAGTTCTTCGCTTGGCCACACCTTGGTCATTTTCCTGAACCTTCTCCTAGGCCCACCTGGGAACTTCCTGTACCATCTGATTTTAGCCAAGAACCCGCCAAGTGAGTTCAGCAAGAACATCCCACTCTGAGGATCTGGCGGTTCTTCAGCCTGCCCCGCCCCCTCCGGTGCCGTCTGGCGGCCTGGGCCTGGCCTGACTTGGCAGGAATCCTGCCGGGTTGGTTTAGCCACCACCCCCCTCAGCCACTGGCCCCCCCAGTTCCTCGCCTACACATTGCCCATTTATATTTGGACTGAGCCCAATCTCCGACCCCATCACAATGTCCTGGGTAAAGTCTTCCTTCGGGCACTTTAACAAAGATCACCGAGTAACTCTTTAACATGAAAGAGCATCACGTCCTGTATCATCAGAGACACGGGCCACTGGGTCCCCAGCGATGGGTGGGTGGCCGTCCAGGGAGCCGAGCCGAGCAGGCTGATGTGGGGAGCCCCTTACCTTGGTCACGATGGTGGAGGTGAAGGTGCCACGGTCATAGACCCAGCCGTCCACACACGGCTCTGTGGCGGCCTCGCTCCAGTTGGTGGCTGTGGCGTTGGGGTCCAGGAGCTGCCACTGCGGCTGGCGGAAGCGGAGACACTGGTGTGGCTGCTGGTCGGGGCCCCGTGGGATGGAGACAGCCAGGAGGGCTTCAAGGGAGAGGTTTGTGGGGGTCTCGGAGCCGTTGTCCAGGGCGCGGGCCCAGCAGCGGTGGCCGGGGACGGCGGCGGAGAAGTTCTCCATGAGCAGCTGGGAAGGCATCCAGATGGCCGGGAGGAGCAGGGTCAAGACCTGCAGGGCCTGGAAGAGGCCCATGCCCCCGGTCCCCTCCAGGAGCTGTTCAAATGCCATGGCAGAGCCGGCCCTGGTGGTCAGTGGGCAGGTCGGGGCCTGAGCTGCTGCTGGGGACCAGTGGCATAGGCAAGATCCAGGCCCCTCGCCCTGGCCAGGCCGGGGAGGGACAGTAGTCCTGTAACTAGCTGAGCCAGTCCGGAGGGGTCCTGGAAGGCCTTGGAGGGAATTCCTCCCTGTCCTGTTCCCAGCAGTGACCTCTCGGTTGTCTCCACACTCCACGGAGGGGACATCAGCAGGGAGCACCCCCAGTTCCCAGTCTGCTCCAGCTGCCCCACAAGTCGGGCTCCGGGAGGGCTGAGCCGCCTTCTGGGTTCTCGGGCACCGAGAGGGAAGAGTCAAGTGGATTAATAACAATAATTTCTTTAAGGAGACGCAGGGCTGTGGTGTTACTGAGTTACAGCTGTGAGGGAACCTCTGCAGGCTGCTGCCTCCCAGGGTGGGTTAAAGTTTAACCTCAGCGTGGGCTCCAGCTCGGGGGTGACGAGCGGGCTGCAGCGGGCCGCTGGTCGGATGAGCTCACTCTCCCGTCCTGACCCTTCCGGACCTTCTCGGTGGGGCCTCCCAGGCGGGAAGTCACTGACCTGACCTGAACCCGGCCCCACGTCAGTTCAGGGGCCAAAGCCAACCGTGAGCCCAGGAACGGGCTTCCCGCACTGGGGAGGAGGCAGCGGGCACAGGCTTGGCCGCCCGGCTGGCGGGAGGGCTCCGGCCTGGCCCTCTTCCTCTCCGTGCGCACCTCCTACCAGGTGGCACCGGGAGACCAGCTCACAGACGGGCTATTTGGGGAAGCTTCTATTCTGAGGTTCCAGATTGCTGCAGTTAGACTGCAGGTCCCCCCTGGTGGGGACCATACCGACCATTTCCTGGCATCTCTTGGCAGCCCCCTGTGGGCCAGAGCTGAGCAGCACACGGGGAGGAAGTGGCCTGTTGTCCAGAGCTAGCTTCCAGGAGGGTGAAGCCAGCCCTACACCAACGCCCCCCCTGGCTGTGCCTCTTAGTGACAGCCCAAGGCAGGCTGCGTACCCTCAGTCACTCCTTAGGATGGCCCAGGAGAGAAATGTTGCTAATTCCCTCAAATAAGGAAACTGAGTCCCAGAGAAGACAGGCAACGGGCCCAGTGTCACCCAGCAGAGTCCAAATTCAAAACATTCACCAAAGCCCAAACTCTCTCTGATGCCCCCGGACAGCCCCTGGGTGCCCTCCAGCCTGTCCAACGACAAATCCCAGCTGTGGGTTGGAACACAGGATTTGGGTCAAAATTCGGGCCAGCCCCCCGTCACCTCCCAGGGTGTGAGAAGAAGGCAGCTGAGTCGGTTCCGGAGAGTTCTGAGGAGTGCTGAAAGTGTGGGTGAGGTGTGGGTGGGTGTCCAGACCCTGGGCTTCTGAGAACCTCCCCAGAGGGCCTGGGGAACTCGGCCAAGACGGCGGCCAGCCAGGAAGCCAGGGCCTGAATTTCAAAGCCAGGTTCCTTCCTGACTCTGCCTCTCTGGGCTGGAACTCATTCTGAATTTTAAAATAGCAAAGGGAGAGGGAATCAAGTCACACCAAAGCAAAGGAGGTGGCAGGAGCGGAGCTAGTTGGGCCTAGCCACAGCCTTGGCCATCCAAAGGCCAGGCCTCCCGTGCAAACACCTGCACTTCAGCCCTGCGCGGGGCAGACTCCATCCTCGCTGGAGAAGCTGGACCTGGACGCAAGCTGGAGACGCCTCTCTGCCTTCCGACTTCCTGCAATGGAGGGGGGCTGTGCCCGGGTTTGCACACCTGAGCTCGTAGCCCAAACCACAGCCAAAAATGCACGGGTGAGGCTGGGCCCAGTTCCATTTAAAAATAAGCCCCGGGGATTGAGCGGCCTGAGAGGTGGGCCTCACTTCCAGAATCTCTGGCCCCGGGGGCTGCTGGAGTCAGGAATCCATTTCCCTTTCTCCTTCCTCTTCCATATGCTTTTAGCATTTTTTTCTTCTTTCCTGCCCTTTGCCAGTCACGGACACCCTAGGCTTTGCTTACAGCAGAAGGTCAATCCTCCCGGATTTGCCAGAAGGCTCCCGGAATCTCCAACTGACTTTCCTCTTCCAGGCCAAGGAATTTTTAATTTTTAATTTTTTTTTTTTTTTTTTTTTTGTCCCTGGGACTCCTGGGGGCAGGGCTTGGTGCAGCTGCTCCGCCACCTGGTGGTCCCACCTGGAACTGCAACACTTGTAAGAACGGGCTCATCCTGCCTGTGGGGCCCATCCTCTAGGGGTACACCCCTTGGGGGAGAAGCAGGCTTGGGGAAGAAGGTGGGTAGCCTCAGATTACAGTCACTAAGCCCCCCATTAGATTTCTAAGCCTCATTAGATTAATTTGGGTAAAGTGAGCCCCTTTTACTCAGAACCAGAATTGCCACTGGGGTTGACTTTCCTATCTAAGGACTCCTTCAAATAAACCCGAACCCAGGCGGGCTGCCAAAGGACCTCAGGCAGTTCACTTCCCATCCATAGACTCCAGGGTCCTTGTCTCAAGATGGAGGCCTCTGCTTCACCTAGTAAGATTAAAAAGAGAATGAATGAGACTCACAGTAGGTATTAGTTATGAGCCAGGAGGGGTGGCACACACCTGGAATTCTAGAGGCCCAGGAGGCTGAGGCAGGAGGATCACAAATTTGAAGCCAACCTCAGAAATTTAGTGAGACTGTAGGCAACCCAGTGAGGCCCTGTCTCAAAATATAAAGAAAGGACTGGGGATGTGATTCAGTTGTTAAGAGCCCCTGGGTTCAATCCTTGGTACAAAAAGAGAAAAAAGTTAGTCATGATGCCTACATCAGCACCACCATCATAACCATCACATCTCACCATCCCCACCATTACCAACACCATCACCACCATCACCATCATCATCCTCACCCTTACAATCACCACCATCATCACCACATCATCACCATCTTCATCACCACCACCATCACCACCACCATCACCACATCATCATCGTCACCATCACCATCATCATCACCACACCATCATCATCACTATCACCATCATCATCCTCACCATCACCACTACCATCACTATCCTCACTATCACCATCCCCATCTTCACCATCACCATCACCATCACTATCACCATCACCTCCAGCACCACCATCATCGCTACCATCACCTCCAGCACCACCAGCACCACGATCATCACCATCATCCTCACCATCACCACTACCATCACTATCCTCACTATCACCATCCCCATCTTCACCATCACCACCACCATCACTATCACCATCACCTCCAGCACCACCATCATCGCTACCATCACCTCCAGCACCACCAGCACCACGATCATCACCATCATCGTCACCATCACCATCCCCGCCACCCCCACCAGCACCAGCTCCATTGCAATTGACGGGTTGTTCTTTTTTTTTTTTTTTCTTTCCCAGTTGAAGCCACAATGTTTCAGATCCAACTGGAGTCCCGGGAGCCCTAGGCGGCCACTCCCTGCAGCCCTGCAGAACCTGGACTGGTCAGCAGGGAGGCTCCTCCCTGGGTGCACACTGCGGCGTTTCCCAAGGGCCATGTGAAGGTGCCCAATGATCCATCACATCCCTAAAACGTCAGATGGCCTTCACGTCTAGAGAGCAGGCTGCAGCCCCTGGGTGCGGAGCTACTGAAGGGCCACCACGAGGGCAGGCTGGGTATTCCCTCTTCAGTCCTCTGCCCCACCTGAGGGCCACCGCTCTGGGGTTTCCCAGTGACCAGAGGCCAAGGCCCTGCCTTCTTCCTGCGCCACCCAGCCCAGCCCTCTCCTGCCCCAGCATGGACAGAGGAGAAGCCACAAACTCAGCTCTAGAACAGAGGAAGCCTCCTTTCTTCTGCCCTGGCCCCAACTGTCCCACTCCCCGGAGGGACTCATGTGAACACTTAAAAACAAGTATTCAGAAATATGTTCCCGTAATCGTTATAACCAGTGATTTGGATTAAGAAGTCGAACGCGCACAGCAACAACCCGACGCTCCGGAAGTGTGCAACACGACGAGTAAACCCCTCTCCCAGCTGCCCCCGGCCTTGCCACCTGGCAGGCATATTCTTCCAGAACAACCTTAATGAATTTTCAAACACAGGCTGAACTTTTCAAAGTACTGAATAGAGAGTGAATTCACACAGACCAAAACAGAAAAAAAAAGGTGCTCAGTGAAAAGTCTGTCCACTCCAGCAGCCAAACTGTCCCCACTTGGCACACCCACCCCCGGTGGCCATTCTTAGTTCTGTGCGTCCTTTCAGAGTTTCTTTCCAAAACTACGCCCAAGGGTCGATTCGTGTTCTCATTTTACTTCCTTTTACCCAAAAGGGGGTTTTCCACTCTGCATGTGCTTCCCACGCAGCCTCCCAGGTGCTGTCCCCGAGCACCCCCTCTGTATGTTACAGCTGCGTTCCTTAGTGGGTCTCCTATTGGCGGCCACTTGGACTGTGTTAAAAGGCTTATTGTACCAGGAGGGGCAAACGAGTAACTCTGCACTCAACGCCATTTCAAATGTACGCTGGTACCTCTGCAGGATAAAGTTCCAGAAGGGGGCTCGGACCCTGGAAGGCTCTCCAGGGACATGTCCTTTAATACTGTCCCCTGCTCCCTACCAATGACCACTGTTATCACACTTGAGGGGTTTCCCGGTATCACAGTTAAAACATGATACCCCAGAGCGGGGCATAGTGGCACTTGCCTGTAATCCCAGCAGCTTGGGAGGCTGAGGCAGGAGGATCACCAATTTGAGGCCAGCCTCAGCAATTTAGTGAGGCCCCGAGCAACTCAGTGAGACCCTGTCTCTAAATAAAATATTTTTAAAAGAGCTGGGGTGTGGCACAGTGGTTAAGCCCTCTGGGTTCAATCGCCAGTGCCAAAAAGAAACACTTCAGTGTAGCTTATTTTTGCCTCTTTCTTCAGAGTGGGGGATCTTTTAACATATTTAAGATGCATTTGTGTTTCTTTTCCTATGAACCACTTTTTTCACATTCTTTGCCTATTTTTCGCTTGTGACAAGCCCTTTATAGATGGGGGAGGTTGGTTCTTTGCCTGTGACATAAGTTTTAAATGTCTGTTTCCAATTTGTCTTTGATGTCTGTTGTTGTTATTGTTAGTCTTTGGCATGTAGAATTCTTTTGTAATTGAATTTATCAGCTTCTTCCGTTTTCGAGTCATAATTAAAGGGCCTTCGCCTCCTCCTCTGGGGGATGAGGGAATTCTTTCATGGTTTGTTTTTCTTTAATCAACAATAGTTGTCGAATTTCTCACCTGCCTTTTCGCACCTGCAAAGTTGCCCGAGTGACTTTCCTCCTATGGATAGGACGGATTTTCTGGGCGGATTTCCTGGTGGAGCCGACTTTCATTCCAGGACTGACCGCCGAGGCCAGCTGTGGGCTGGAACCTGGTCCCTCATGCTTTGTTTAGAGATTTTCATGGATCTTTGCATCATTAATGTCCACATCTAAGACTGGACCGCAGTTTCCTTCGTTCCTTTCTTGGCAAAATTGTTAACAGTTTTTTTGGGGGGTGTCGGGGGGTACTGGGGATTGACCTCAGGGGTACTGACCACTGAGCCACATCCCCAGCCCTATTTTGTACTGTATTTAGAGACAGGGTCTCCCTGAGTTGCTTAGGGTCCAGCTTTGGGGAGGCTGGCCTTGAACCCGCCATCCTCCTGCCTCAGCCTCCCAGCTCAGGGATTCCAGGCCTGCCCCGCGGGCCCAGCTCTTATCAGGTTGGGATTTCAGAGTTGCACTCCCCGCCTTGAGGAGCCGGTGCGTCTTCTGCTCAGCCCAGGTGAGGCAGGGCTTCTCCTCCTTCTCCTGCCTGTACCCTTGTCATGTGGCCCACTGTGGTGGAGTCCAGCTGGCCTGGTCCTTGATGTGGAAGGAGGCTGAGAACCAAGGCCTCAGGACCTTGGGGACTAGGGAGGAGGGGTGGCAGGGGAGGGCTGAACACCTGGGCCTTGAGCGGGCACACCTGCCGGGCAGGGTTTGCTCTTGTTCTGCGGCTCACGCTGTCATTGTGAGCCCCTCTGAGCTTTGACGGATGTAAGAGCCGCAGCGTCTGCCCACGGGTGACTTCTGAGCAGCCACAGCGGTGTCCTGCCAGCCCCGCGGCTCGTCCCGCGCTGGCCCACTCGGGTTCATTTCCCTGCGTCTGGGGTGGGGGGCAGGAGCCTTCTGGCTGAGGCCTCCGTCAGCCCCCGGCGGGCACCCAGGGCTTCCTCTGCTGCAGAAGCTCCAAGGGACTTGGAGCCGACTAAAATGTTGTGGCCAATGACAGAGGGACCTGGTGGATTAACTCCCCGGCTCCCTTCCCTTCCCTGTCCCCCATCCCCCAGGGCCTCCTGGGATCACCTCCAAAAGAAACTCTGTCCTTCCAATCTTTGTTCCAAGGCTTTGGGGACCCCAGGCTAAGGCCCTTCTTTGTAGGGGTGACTGCTGGTTCCTAGTGGCCCCTACAACCCCACACCAGCCCAGGGCTGAGCATCAGCGTGACTGGGACCTGCTCGGGACGACCGTGGAGGTGGGCCAGCCACTGCTGGGACACTGACGCCCAGAGGTGTTAAATGGCTCTCTAAATCCGAAAGGTGACACAACGGGGCGGTGACCAAGACCCAGGAAGTGGGACTGACACTCAGCTCCCTCCAGGTGTCTACGGCCTCTGGGGTCCCCTTTGTGTGCACCAATAAACTCCAGGGACCCCAGGTTGGAGACGTAGACAAAAGGGTCCTGAGAGGTGTCCCCCCATCTTGCTGCAGATGGAAGAGGCTGGGGGGGGGGCGCCTGCCCTGGGGATGGGGTGGGGGGCGGGTGATAGAACAAGGACCCAATCCAGGTGCCAACCCTGGAGTCCAGTTCTCTCGGTGCTGCCTGTGGTCACCAGAGGATGACCCCACAGTTCAGGGCACTGGGTCACTCCTGGTGCCTGCTGAATGGTGGCCCCCAAATGATCCACGCCCAGATCCTGTGACGGGGACCTTATTTGTAAAAGGTCCCTGCAGATGCAGTTAAGGGTCTCAAGTGGAGCTCATCCTGGGTCCTCCTGGAAAGATCCAGTGATGCGTGTCCCCATCAGAGACTCACAGCGGAGCAAGGGAGACAAGGGAGACGGTGACCGGAGCCCGAGGTCGGGTGGACGCAGCCACCTGCCAAGAGACCCCGGGATCCACGCATCTGGAAGCAGGAAGGCAGCTCCTGGAGCCTGGGGACGGAGCGTGTCTCCGCCACTCCTTGAACTTGGACTTGGGGCCTCCAGGGGTCTGCGGCTGTGAGCCCCCGGGTGGGGGTGGGCCTCTGTCCCAGCGGCCCCAGGACACGACCAGACGCTTCCATTGCGCTTAGTTCTTGAACTTGTTTTCTCACAAGTTTCCACCACTTACCAAGAGCGGCTCCCAGAGCTGGGAAGGAATCCTCCACGGACACGTGGAGCCAGCCCCATGCGGGGCACGGGGGACCCAAGGTGAACGGGCAAGGAGGTTCGCCAGCGGGTACCATGATGTGAAGTCATCACACCACGCTCTGACGGTGCGCCAGCAGCTGGACCCAACATACAGGGGACAAAGGTGGGAGGCTTACTGGGGGCTCAGGGAGGAGTTGAGAGGGCACAGATGTGATAGCCGGGAGGCGACATGCGGGTGGTGTTCCAGGCAGATGAACAGCATGTGCAAAAGTCCTGAGGCTGGGCCAGGAGGCATGGGAGAAGGGGGTCTGAGCACCCGGGGACTCTCAGGACGAAGGGCGGCACTGGGATGGAGTCCACTCAGGCCTTGGGAGGCCCTGTATCAGGTCAGCACTGGGCAGACAGTGGGGATGGCCAGGAGACTTTGGGACCGATCCATTTTAAAGATTTGAATTACGGGAATTATCCTACAGGGGAACTCTCTCCAGGGCAGGTTTTTATGGGGGAAGACTCTCCTGGAGGCCTCGGTGATGGTTCAGAATCTCAGGACTTCACAGCCTCTCTCTGGTGAGGGGCAGAAGCTGACCTCCAGCCCCTCTGGAGTAAGCTTGTCCTGGTCACGTGTTGGGTTAACCTGTAAGCCGTTAACCAGGTCCCCCCCTCTTGGCTGTCTTCTTGACCCGGGCCTGAGAACTCCCTGGATGGGGAGGATTTTTCCATCTTGGTCTTTGGGTCGGCCCACATCCGCCCTGGCCCCTGGCCAATGTCATAGCCAGTACCGTGTGACGCTCTGGCTGTCCAGGAGCCCTTACCTCAACCCCAAGAGGACCTGCGGGAGCCAGTCACAGGGTGGTGGACACTGCTGACTCATCTGGCACCGGAGACCGCGGAGGTTCCAGGGAATCCACTGTGTACGAACTCCCAAGTCTGGGACAAATGGGCTGCTCCTGACCCCACCTGAGCCAGGCCCCACCTGAGCCAGGCCCTCACCTGAGCCAGGCCCTCACCTGAGCCAGGCCCTCACCTGAGCCAGACCCTTGCCAGAGGCCGGCACCTTGCTACTGGACTTCTTGGCCTCCAAACTGTGAAGAATAAGTTCCCCTTCTTCAAAAATCACCCAGTCTGTGCCATTCTGGTTTAGCAATCATCAAACAAAGGCTCAGACAGTGCCCTGGGCATTTTAAAGGTCCCACAGGGAAGTGGAGCCTTTTACTCAGAAAATCAGGCCCACAGATTCCTCCTGGCCACAGGCCTCTTCCCTCAATTACCCTAACCAGCGCTCTCCCAGCCAGAGCCGCCACTCATGACGTTGGGCCTGAGGAACATTCCAGAAATTGAACATTTTGTCTACACCTCCTTCATCTTCAAACATGTATGGACAACCAGAAACCCCGCCCCCCATGAGGAGCCCCAGGGCAGTGAAGGAGAGACCCCCACTCCACCAGCACAAGAACCGCTCAGGGGGTGACGCAGTAAGACGGAGGAAAAGGTCAAATAACTGTAGTTCACATTTCCAGGGAAATCCAGTAGGGCATCTAGATTTTAAATAACAGACTCCTGCCACTTAAAATTGCAAACACGACGGACAAAATCTGAAGCCTTCAATCTGTGGGTGGAATAACGAGGAGGTCCAGTGTCCTGGGTGTTCAGGACAAAGAAGGCTCTCAGCACAGCGCCAAGGGCCTGTCCAACATGGACCCAGAGCTGCACCACGTGGACGTTGGATAGAGGGTTCTCCACATCTGGGTCAGAGAAGGCACTGGACATGGGATTGGAATGACAGGAGGAACAAGAAGAGAAAGCCTCTCTTAGGTGGAAGAAGACGGAGATGTTGCGTTGCAAGGTCCCCGTCAAGGCGAGCAGGGCTGGTGGAGAGCTGACGCATGCCCGGGACATGTCTGGGCTCCTTGAACACAGGCAGGTTTGCATGCTAAGTGTCCATCACGACCCTGGCAGTTTCAGTGTGATGTTGGCCTTCTTTTTATGTGTGTGTATATATATTTAGTTGTCAGTGGACTTTTTTTGTTGTTGTTGATACGTGGCGCTGAGGATCGAATCCACTGCCTCACACATGCTAGGCAAGCGCTCTGCCCCTGAGCCACAGCCCCAGTCCCCACGTCGGCCTTCTTTCATCACCCATTCATGATCTCAATGGGCAGCCTTTATCGAGGACCTGACCTCACAAAGCACAGTCTAGTGGGGAACAGACCACAGAGCGCAGCACAGCATGGGGCTCAGAACGGCAACTGTGGAGCTAGGCTGCCCGGCTAGACCCTGGTCACCGTCACCAGGCACGTGTTTCTGTGCACTTCATGTCATTCCGTGGAAAACGTACGAGGGTGTTTTCTCTATCGTAGGTTGTTTCGAAGACGAAGACTTAAGGAAAGCGCTTAGGACAGCAATTGACACACAGGCAGACCTCGGGGACCCGATGGCCCCTTTCCAGGCCGCTACAGCAAAGAGAAGGATGGTAATAGAGGGAGTCTCTGAGCGGTGCATATGGAAGCTGTGTTTCTCCTCGGCTGTGGTCTCTTAAGTGTGCAATAGCATCATGTCTCTAGAAATGTGCAGACCTTAATTAAAAAACACTGAATTGCTAAAAAATGCTAATGATCATCTGAGCTGTTGGGAAAATGGCGCTCGCAGATCGGCTTGACGCAGAATTGCCACAAAGCTTCAATTTGTAAGAAAGAAAAAAAAAAACACGCCGTGTCTGCAAAGCACAACGAGCGAACTGCGGTAAGACGCCTCTGCGTGTGCGCATCTGACAAGTCTGGCCAGGCGTGGTGCTGAGGGTCCAGGATTTGGGAGCATCATGAGTGCCGGGATCAGGGCCCTGGGACCTGAAGGTGGGCGGCCGACAGCCAGGCCTGGGCACCACCCCGCGGAAGCAGCCTCCAGCCCTGCACCAGCGCCACCTCCCTGGGCCAGGGCCTTGCTGTCTGCTTGGCTCCTGAGAGGTACATCAGGTTGGTGCCTGGGGCCCTGGGCTTGTCACACCCTGTCTGGGTGACACTGACAGGGCTACAGTGTCACCAGTGCCTGCAGGAAGCTGCCTGACACACTAGATATTTCACATTTATCAGAGAGTCTCACTCACCCATAAGCTGATTTCTTTTCAGCCCATCACAGGTCCTCAGCGCCCAAGGCCACTAGCCGGGACCAGGGACAACTTGTGGGCAGGGAGGGCCTGGTGGATAAAGGGAATGGGCTGGGGGACTGTTGGGCCCTTCTGGAAGCGTGGCCTTGGGATGGGGACTGGGGACACAGGCCAAGGTCCCTCTTCAGAGCCACCCTCAGGGAGATGGAACGGGAGGGTCTCCTGGAGGTGGGGGGATTTGAATTTCAGACCCACGAGGTCCCCAGGAGAACAAAAGCAGGGCTTACCTGGCGAGTCTCCTCTCTTGAAGGGCCCCACACCCTGGCCTCCTGCTGCCTCTAGAACGTTCAGGGCGGAAAACAGGCTCCTCTCAGGGGGCTGACACAGCCAGGCTCTGAGGGTCCAGCCAGCCAGGCACAGCCAGGTGGATCCCACCATGCAGGGGATGACCTGCGGGGGCCTGGAGCCCCCGACCCTGCAGCTCCTCGCCCTGGCCTGTCCCCTCCTTCTGGCGGTCTGCCAGGGGCCTCCTGCTGCCCACGTACCAGGCGGATCTGGACCTGGAGTCCAGGGCCAGCAAGGCCTCCGAGCATCTCAGGAGCTGGGGACAGGACTTTTCACCCCAGGGGACTTCAGCTCCTCTGTGCTTTCTCTGGGGTCACCAGGAGCCCTCTGGACCTTGTCCCTTTCTCCCCCTGTGACTCTGCTCTCCGTCCTCTGCATCCCGGGTGGTGTGAGGCATGGAGACCCTCAGTGCCAGGGAGAAGAGCCCAGGCTGGCAGTGCTGGGGGGAGGGAAGCGGCCTCTCCCCCGCCGCCACTCTGCAGGGGCAGTGGGGCATTCTCCAGGAGCCCCCATGCCGGGGAGCCGGGCTCTGCTCACCTCCCACCCCGTGGCCACACTCCCTAACTCTGCCCTGGAGGGACCATGACGGCCACACTCTGTTACCAGCTTCCCTGAATATGAGGGTCTCTGCCCCATCCCCCCCAGAGCAGGAGCCTTCCCACAGCCACCTGCGCCCTCTGTGGCTCCGAGGCAGCCAGCCACAGGCAGGTGAGGGCCTGGAGAGAGGCCTGCATCTCTGCTCTGAGACGTGCTTTGGAAAGGCGACCTGGGAGCGAAATACCGCCATGTTGACATCGCACTGCTGAGCCAGGCAGCCTAAAGCCTGGCGCTGGTGGGAGCTCATGGCACAAGTCAAAGCCAGGTAGCCCTGGCTCTGCCACTTACTGTGTGGGTGACCCCGGAGCAGTTAGCTAGCTCACGGTGCCTCAGTTTCCTAACCTTTAAAATGGGGCTACTGGGCTGACTCATAGCATGCAGATGAATATACACTAGGGATTTCCCAAATTCTCTAGGCCTGGGTTCAAGGCTACAGAGAAGCTCAGGAGCAAGATATGGTAACCAGGTCGTGAGCACCTGGCCCAGAAGAGAGCCGAGGCCTCATCTCAGAGCCACGCTCTGAAAATTTCTGTCCTTCACCTGCCCGGCTGGCTTCCCTCATCTCTTCAGGCCACTAGTACTATCCTTAATCCCGTGGCTTTCTTCCAGTCAACTGACTTCTACATAAAAACCTTCCCTAGAATGTTGATAACAACAATCTACGGAAACTGTAAAACCAATATCCTCCGCCACCAATAGAAGGAGACTAAAACCAATTTAAAAATAAAAACCCACCTCAGCCTGTGGGAACAGGACTGGACATGTGGGAGCCCCCGCCTGCCAAGGGCTCTGGGGGACAGCTGTTCTTTGGTCTTGCAGTTCTGGGGATGAAGCCAGGGCTCTGCCACTGGGCTCCACCCCCGGCCTCTTTCCCTTGGTTTTGAAGAACAGGACACTGGAAGGTCAGGAGGTAGTCCTGCTGGACCCAGCCAGGGGGTGGCAAAGGACGGAAACGGGAATCAACTTTGGCGTGTGAAGGCACATTTAACCCCTTTGACACCTCTGAGAATCGTCCCTGTCCCATCCCATACCCGAGGCCAGGCAGGGAGAGGTGGGGAGCCTCCTGTCACCCGCTGGCTTGTCTAATTTGGGGTCCTCTGCAGGGCAGGTCCCCCCCTCTCCCCCCACTCGCTGCCTTGGGCGGAGGAGAGCTCCCGGGCTGCGGTCCAGGTGGAGGACTTTGGTAAGAGTGGCGCTGGCCCTGAACCCCGGGGGATGCAGTCCCGCGGGACCCTGCAGGTGACCGGCTCCGCCCCGCCCTCCTCCTCCTGACGCCCCACGCTCTGCGCTAGGTAGGGGACCCCTGGGTGCCCAGATGCCCAGGGCCTCCTGGAGATTCCTCGCCGCGCCAGCCCTGGTCGCCTCACTACCCGTCCTGCCCCACCGTGCGGAGGACCGGTGGGTCGTGCGCGGGATTGGAGAGTCAGCAGGACACCGCCCTCAACCCGGCAGCCACGACTGAGCCCCGACGGGACTCCAGGGTCCTGCGAAACCGACAGCAGCTCTCAGAGGACGAGGGGCTGAGCCCGGAGAGCAGCAGTAG